TTTCAGCCTGTCGTCGTAAGGTCTGTTTTCCTGACCTCTGATCATGCGTGTGGCTCTTCTCTGGACTCTCTCAAGCTTCTCCACATCCTTTTGGAATTGTGGAGCCCAAAACTGGACGCAGTACTCCAGCTGCGGCCTCACCAAGGACGAGTACAAGGGGAGAATGACGTCCTGCGATTTACTTGAGAAGCATCTGTGGATGCAAGCCAGCATTTTGCTCGCTTTAATAATGCCTTGTTGTTAATTAATTAATTAATTCATGTTAATTAAGCGGGAGGCTGCCCATTTCTTGCCCCGATGCCAGGGGTCACTATCTGCGGCTCCATTCCTCTGCTACACTGCAGCCCAAGCCTCGCAGATGGCATCCAGCTGTTGTCAATATCACTGGCCCCACACTGGGCCCCAGAATCCTGCTGTTTGAACCCCACCTGGATCCCTCCATTCAGATGGCCTATGCTGCTGTTGTTCCAGGCTGCATAGCTCCCCGAGCTGCTTCCCCTTCCAGGTGTGGTCCCCCCGGGACCTTTGGCTTTGTTGGCCCTGGCCCACCTCCAGGCCAGTTGGAACCCCAGGCCCTCAGCTCTGGGTGTCTCTCGCGGTGGGCCCCCAGCCCTTCGACCCTTCTGGTCCTGGCCCCAGCATGGACCAGTCGGTGAATGTCAAGACAGGTTTGAATCTATGGCCCCGCTCTCTCGCTGGGATCCACCTTCCAGACCCTACAAGGTGGTAACACACCCAGTTGTGGGAGCTGGGGTTAAGGCACCCCAACCCGCCTTGCACTGGGGTAGTAACTGGCCTGGCATTTGCTGGGGGCTCCCGTGCCACTGAGAGCCCCACCAGGCCACCCACTCCTGGCAGGATGCAGTTTTAGGTCATGCCCAGGACCAGGAGCCTCCTGACAATCCCCTACAGCTCCTCCCTTACCTCCAGGTGATACCAGCAGCCCTGCAGCCAGGCAATGTTGTAGCCTGGCCTCCAGCAGCAAAATGCCTTGTTTATTTGGGCAGCCCTAGATCCAAAATGGCTGCCCTAATCAGGCATCTGCTGGCTGCTGTCTTCAAGCCCTTAAAGTGGCAAGCACAAACAGTGCCCTGCCACTTAAGGGGACAGGCAGTAATCTCAATTATAATTAATTTTTTCAACTGTTTGACCACCCTAGTAAAATCCTGTTACCTGCTGCACCTCCTGTCGTTGTTCTTTAAGTTTGCAACAAGGAAAATTGTCAGATTAACACCACCAAATCTCTGCAAAAATATTTATTATAGTAATACTTTCATCTCCCCCTGTGCGTGTGGATAGCACCTCCTGTATTGTGGGTGCTACCAGAATGTACATATAATCACTAACCTGATTAATTTAATGTGCTCATCCCCACGTCTTTCTGTTTACTGTTTTCAAGTACATATGAAGCTGTGATGCAATGGTTCAGCTGTTCTGCTCAGTGTTTGTGACCACAATAATGCCTCTGTGTTGGTGTCTTGTTTTTTTTCTTCTAGCCTCTGACAGTGACAGCACCATCCTTAACCATTGCAGAGAATATGGCTGACTTGATAGATGGATATTGCCGCCTGGTGAACGGAGCCACGCAGTCATTTATCATCAGGCCCCAAAAAGGTAAGGTGGCATTTCATTCTGAAGAGCACTTGTGTTGTAATAGTCAGATTTCTCTATGTGTTATTTCAAAACAAAATTGAAGGCATCAGATGCAACAAAGTCTGACTTGAAGGGGGTTGCTGTCTTTGTAGCAGGAAATATGGGAGAGTTTAGTTGTTAGAAAAACTGGTAATAGATGTCTTTCTGTACAAGATTAATGATGGGTAGTGTAGGTAGGGTACCTGTAGTCAAACCTTTACACTGATTTAAAGATAACTCTACAAATGGTAGAAACAAAATGGTGATTAAAGATGCTTCTAAAAAGGAACTGTTACTTCAAATTCTGAGTCCTGAATTAAAATAGCGTTAGGCCAGTTTGAATGGATTTGGGTGGGATTCTGTTTCATGGTGCATATAAAAATAATTACGCCCTTCCTCCCACACATCCCAGACTTCTTATTTTCATTTGCTAGTCTTGATCTCTGGCTCACAAAATATTATTGAAGCAAAACAAGTATTTGTTAATGTTTTGTTAGAAAATGAAAGTCAGTCATCTTGCAAAAAAACAGGGAGCTGAAAACAGCAACATCTGTTTGGAGTATATACCACTAGCTCAGCATGTGCCTTAGTGAGTTTTAATCATTTTAGCTGTCTAGAAATTGAAAAATGTTTTTAAGAGTGAATTTGCTGTTAAAAAAATTGGCAAAGTCTCTTAAAGATTATATTAGGGAGGCTTGTGCTCTAGCTGTTTGGATCTTGAATACATTTACCTGGCAGGATTTCCAGTTTTGGTAAGTGGCATCCTCCACTGACACAGAAAGATGCTGAAAACGATTGCACTTGCTGGTGTCATCATTACTCAGCCTGCCATTTGAACCCACTTCTCTGGCAGTTCAGGGATCCTGTCTGCTACTTCAGCTTTTGGTCAAAAAGATTCTGTCTGGATGAAAATGAAATCACTGCAAATCTTTTCCATGGGTTTCATTATAAGAAATGGCTCTAGAAGCTGCAGATTGAGTCTCCTTTCACTTACATTTCTCTACCTTTTGCATCCACTTTTCTCTCTACTGTTGTTCAGATGAAGCCATGGGGTTGACACAGACAGTGTGGGTCCTTCAGCAGTCCATGTAGTGGCATCCTGCTGATGCAGAGCTCTGACACCTGCACAAACTCTCCCCTTTTGTCCCCTGAAGAAAGGACATTTGGTTATTCTGTCTTGAGAGATGTAACTATTTGGTTCCTGTTTGGGCAGTTCAACATCACTTATACATTGTGCAGATGGATAACATTATTCTTAAACCTGAATGTCTGCTCCGAGTTAAATGTTTGCAAGCAGCCTTCGCCTCAAGACAAGCAGCTGTTTGCTTGAGAATCCCTCCCGCTCCCCACCACAGAAAAGGGCCCAGCCTCCACCCATGCCTGGAAGGTCGCATCTCTTCCGGTACTGATAGCAGTGGCTCACTTGAGCATTCCCTGACAGATTTCCTTTTCTCCTTAATCCTCTTGTCAAGCAGTATTCACAGTTCCTTCCTTCCCTGAACATCACAATTTCAGATCTCTTACTGTTTCCCACACCAAGTTCCAGAAGTTTCCCTTCCAGATCACGCAGTAACCAGTCCAGGTTATCATTCAACAAGTTAAGCTCAACATGGCCAAAACATGATCCTTTCTGTACTCGAGCCTTTTCCTCTCCCCTGGTTCCACCTTCACAAACACCATAACCATGCAGTGTCGCTCAGGCCCACGGTCTGGGCATCACCCTTTGCTCCGGCCATCTCTTTAGACATCCACGTCCATGCTGTTTCCAAGTCCTGCCATATCCACCAAAGACTGCAGCTTTTTCAGCTTGCCAAGACTGTATTAAACGCAAGTTCCTTGTTATGCCTTTAGTGTCAGTCACCATTGAGCTCTGCCCCATCCCTCTGATCTCCAGGTTCTCAGGTCTGGCTTTGACTCTGCCCCAGACTCCCTATGCTTTCTCCAGTGCTATCATCAAAGCAAAGGAAAAATATCACAGTCGGAATCCATAAAATAGCTGCTTTATCCTCTAAGTCCCACCTCAAAACTCATCTCCTTCAAAGTACCTACAGTAATTTTGCAACTTTTAAACAACTGGCCAGGGAAGGTGGTGTGATTTATTGCCCCAGATTGGCCTAAAATTGTATGCATCCAGTTATTTCTTTTGACCCCATGTCCTGCCCAGCTTCTTCTCTCTTCCAACCTGACCCAATTGTTTGTCATCCACTTGTTAGATCTTGTTTTCTAGACAGTAAACTTTATAGGATTAGATTCTAGAAGTGTGTACAGTAACTGGTATGTAATTGGTAGAACATAATTACCCAAACTAGAATTAGGCCAGGAAATGAGAGCTAAGAGCACTCTTGCAAGTCATCTCATAAATTAGTAGACTCTTGCAAAAGACAGGGTTCCTGGGCACTTCAGTGACCCCCAAGTGGGCAAAGCCTTAGTTCTGCCTTCTCAACAAAGGCAGCATGTGTAGCAATACAGCAGTTTTTTAATAATTAACCTGAGGCACTGGTCTTAGTGCCCACTAAGCAGCATCCAGCACCTTGACTGTTTCTTGTATGTCTGTCTTCTTCTATGATGGTCCCATTGTTTTAAGCTTGAATCCAAACGAAATAACTTACTAGCCCAGAATAATCTCATTTAGGTTATGTTCCAGCAAAAATGCTCCTTTTGATCTTATCCTCACTGAGTTTAAAGCATCAAAATGTTTAAAGCCAGTCTTAGCTGGAATTTGGTCATGCAAGGGCAGCTCACACCACACCATTCCTTAGTTGTACCTACAACACAAGAAGAGAGATTTTACAGACCATTTTTCTTCCTGAAATGGCTGTTGTTTTTAACGGCATACTTGGCTACAAAGATTTACTTTTCAAAGATGTGCAGTGATTATAAAATGTATTGATCTGTGTTATACTTCTGGGTACCCTTTAGCTAAATAAATGTTCAGTGATTCGGGTAAAGGAATATTCTTCTTACAGTGCTTCACTTAAGGTAGGAACGTTTTTCCTTGGTACACACACAAAGAATCTCTCAAATGAAATGTATCTTTGACAACTTGATTCAGAAAAGCATGACTTCATTGATGCAAACTGACTTAAGCCATTTGCTGGTCATTTAAAAGCAACAGTTTTCTTCTTTCATGTTTTTTTTTCTTTTAATCTCATAGCACTATTCAGTTAATCAAATATTAATTAAACCTTTCTTTAGGGAAAGCATTCCTCAGCTCAGATCCAGAAATCCAAAGGCCCCCTCCTCAAACAAGCTTTGATTATACGTTATACCAGAAGTAAATTTTTGCAGCTCTTGCTCCAAATGAATAGATTTTTTTTCTTTCCCTCACTCTCTCTCTTTCGAACTTTTTTTTCCTAGTAGCTCATTATGGCAAGGCTCCTTCCAAATTATCAGTCTGGGTTACTAAAGGAAGCCTGGTCTTTGGGGTATTATCAGTCTCACTATCTGCAAATTATCCAGCTGCTGTAAATTTGTGAGAGCACAGTCAGTAAGGTTTAAAGCCTGAATGTTAATTCGTGTTCTTCCGTTCAGTTGTTGTATCCTTTCGCAGATAGTTTCATAGAATCATAGATTCTATCCTTTTCAGGAGGGGGCCTTTGGATTTCTGGATCTGAGCTGAGGAATGCTTTCCCTAAACTATCCTTTTGCAGGTAGTTTGCTAAAACAGTTGTAAAATGAGGCTTACCTATTAGTCATAGTATTTGTTTTCCCATAATTATGAAATAAGAATATAAAGTGACTTGAAAACTGCAGCTAAGTTGTAGCCTATTTTATAAGTTAAATAATTGTAGTCAGATGGTTTTTTAATTATTAAATCAATTTGAGCAAATTGTTAGCAGTTTGTTGATCAGTGAAAATTGCCAGACTCTCTTTGAAATGCTCTATAGGAATATTTGGGCAGGTGAAATATGTGTGTCTAGTAGGGTGGCCATCATAGAGTACAGTCCAGTTGTCCTCTGTCCTAGATTGATATGAAACCCGACGCCTTTAGGCATTGGGTTTCGTATCAACAGAGGACAGAGTAGCAGAAAACCAGAATGTCCTCTATGATGGCCACCCTAATGTCTGGTTATGCTGTACTGCCAAATTGATCTTTAAACTCAAATGTTCTTTCCCTTTGAATCCATACTTGCAGGGATAACAGTCAAATCAAAATGAATCTAAAATAGTTTAAATCAAAATGAAATAGGTTGCAAGGTTATCCCTGTATTTGTATATGATTCTTTTCATATGAAATGTTTAATTGTCAGCCGCTAATTGAATTATTTTAATCCTCCTGTCAGAACAGTAAAATAGCATCCAACTTACTGTGCAGTTTCACGCTAATGCATTTGATAAGCAACTTAGAGTATATGTTTGCTTTCAAATCTATTGTGTTTCTAATGCAAGTAAAATTTAAGCTGTGATATATCCAGATACATCAGAGGTATTTTAGTGTGCCATTGTTATACTTGGGCTGACTTTTAATAGCTGATTGGAATTGTGGAAGGAGTGGGACGTCGTAGTTTTTATCTCTTTAAAGGCAAATGACCTGTATTTTTAATGAGGTACTTGTAATATATTCCAGACCTCCAAGATATACAAATGGTGGTATAGTATCCTTTTACCTACAAGTTGCAAATGGTAGTGTACCAGCCTGGGTAGTGCACCTGAGGGGATCAGTTCACCTTGGCAGAGGTTTGCTGGTTCAGCAGCAGTGCAGTGCTGTGCTGGAGAGGTAAAAGGAGCGGTGTTATTAATGATACTGCAGAATGTGCAAGTTTGGGAGTGTATACATTCACATTTCTCCTTTTCCTCTTTACTTTCAAATCTCAACATCCCCTCTTTGTGGCGATTCTCCAGCAATGAAGGGGTGGGCAGTGTTTGCACAGCCAGTCAGGGCTAATTCATGCATAAGTCAGAGAGTTGCTTAAGAGTGGTACTGTGTGCTCCTTCCTTTTCCCCAGGGCTGAGCATGCATTCTCCACTGCTCTCCCAGCCCTGCCAACACAGAGGGTAAGGGAACAAGTTCTGTTCAATGCATGTAGTGCATTGCTCTGCTACTAACGACAGATGAGGGTTTGTTTTATTGCCATCGCTCTTTAGAGTTCACAAATGGGAGCATTGTTCTAAAAAAAGGTTGGGGGGGGGGCCCATCTCTGTCAGATTTTTATCAAAGCAAAGTTCCCATCCTCCAGACTTTGAGTGGGGTGAAAATTGTGCCTGGGAGTGTTTTTTTCGGGGATAGAGGGCAGTAGAGGGAAAAACATGGGGAGAGATGGGTTTTTATCTGCACTGAAAACTTGAAATACTTAGTTTCAGATGTCTAGAAAATGTTTAATATGGCCAAGAGTCTTTTGCCTTTCCCTGTCCCTCACCAGCAGTTCCTTTCATCCTTCTACAAGATGCAATCAGTTCCTTCATATCCTGCCAGTCTGCTTTCCCTCCCCTATACCCTGCTTTCTCCTGCAGATCCCAACACCCTCATTCCAAAACCAGGCAGAGCCGCTTCCAGTCCTTTTGCCTCAGTCCATTCATTGCCTATTAGCCCTGTCTCTCTTTTCTATAAAAGTTTCTGCATGACGCTAGGCAAATGGCTGAAACTGGGCTCTTTTCTGCTGATGTCCTCATTTGGTGTGTGCCCGGATTGAAATTCTGAGTTGCATTTGCAGAACTGCTGAGTATTTACAGCTGCAGCCAAAGCCAAGGGGAGCTGTGGTTTAAGCTTCTGAAGTGTTACATCATGGAGACATTGTAAAAATCAATCTATTCATGTCTGTGAAGCACAGAGATGCTCTGGTGGCATACACCATTAAAAATGCCAGAAGGAAACTAATAATTTTGTCTCCAGAGTCAAGTTTGAAAAGTGCACAGTGAAAAGGGCATGAGACACTCATTGAACAAAGTGACGAAATTCTGAAGGGCTGCTCATTCATTGAGCCCAGCAAGCTTAAATCTATCAGTTTCTAATTTCCCTGTGACTTTTAAGTCTGAATAGTTTTCTTTTAATATCAATTCTATCTGTGATTTCATAAAAAAAAAAAAAAAAAAGCAAGATGAAAAACCAATTTCTCCATGGCATCATATTGATCCTCCCTTCCCCCCCATATGGTTTACCAGCATCTAGTGCCAGATCAACCACAGCAGTAATTGATAGCAGTAAGTAGAGTAGAGCTTTATACTTTGAGGGCTAGTGTTAGAGGGAGTGGGATATATTGCCAGGGGATTTCACACGTATGTGCTGCAGTCGAGAATTGCTGTGACTTGGGGATGTGGGGTCTTATTCTGAATGGGACTGTGCTGTAGTAGGCACGGTCTCTTCTAGGCACGGTCCTACGCATTCCCCTTTTGCCTGATTCCCCTTAAACCCAATTTTGTTTCAGTCGTCTTGGGACCCCCCGCTGGCCCCTTATCCCAGACTCCATTCTGCAGGTTCCCAAGTCGTCATGTCAGCGAGTCTGCATGTCGACTCTCCAGAATCTCTGCCCTGGTCCCTTCCCTTCTCTTGCTCCCCATCTGTTTGCCCAATTATTTATTACCAGTCCTTCTGCTTAACCTCTCTAGATCCTTTCCAAATTTTCTTGCCCATCCAGTTCAGTCCTTCTCTCTCAGCCGTCTCCCAGTCTCACCTCCCATCCATCCCATATGATCTCCTTCATCCAGCTTCTTGTGCCAGTCTTTTTCCTAGCTGCTCCTAGACTCCTATTCATACCCATTTTTCACCCTTCTCTGCACTTCCTGTTTCAAGTGGTTGCCAGTCCCCAGTCCCTGTCTCTTTTTCTTCCCCCCCTTCCCCCCCACACACACTCAACTCCCCAGCTCCTAGAGCTTCCGTTACAGCTCCGTGGGCTCTGGCTCCTGTCCTGCCTGCATCTGCATTAAACTCCTTTCTCCTTTACTGCCAAGGTACCCAGACCTGTAGCCTGGCAGATCCACGTCTTGGGTAATCGTGTGATGCTGGGGCAGTGCCAGCTGCATCAGTGCAAATTACAGTGTGTCAGTAAGCTGTCACGGTGGTTGCAACTTTTTTTGCACCTCTCCGCAGGGGCCTGATTGCCCTCCCTACCTCCTAGTTCTGCTACTGAAGATGCCAGTGGGAATCTTTATTTTTTTTTTTCCCTATGTACTTTTTTCTCAGTTCCAGTGCCCAGCACACCCTAACCCAGAGCTGCTGGGACCAGCTATTACAGGGAAAGTTGGGCTTTGCTGCTGTGGGCCTGGCCTGGATGGAACATGCTCAGCCGCACTCTGGGGAGGGTGCATGCACAGTCAGTCACATGACAAAGCTACGAGACAGCGGAGCATGCTCTGTTGTTCTGTGGGAATGGTGCATGCGTGGTCTATCACACAGCAGCTGTAATGGGATGGCGCATGCTTGGTGCTCTCTTGGGATGGAGCATGTGCAGCCTGTTGCACAAAAGAGCTGAGAAGGGACAAAGCATGTTTACTGGCTCTGAGGATGGTGCAAGCATAATTTGGCTAGTGCAGAAAGCTTCTAGAGGCTTGAGCATGCACTCTTCAGAGGGTTTAGCTGCCAAATTCCAGCGTCTTCTATCGTGCATGCACAAACTATGATTTGTCAGAGGTCTGTAACCTGGGGAGATTTTCATGGAGACAGCAAAAGGCGCATCCTGCCCACAAAGGCCAGTGCTAGCCAAATTTCAAGTCCCTGGTCCAAAGATTGGGGAACCTGAGCTTTCCAAAGAAAACATCACCAGAAGAGTTTCTGAACACTGAAAGGAAACATTTTTCCTAGGTCTTACTCTAACAGATGTCTGAATTGTTTTGGCTACAGTTTTCCCAAAAAAAAGAGTTCAAGATAAGATGAGACCCATCATGGGAAATTCCCATTCACGCCATTAACCTCTGGCAAAGTTGCAAGGTGAAATGAAAATAGGCTTTTAAGGCTGGAAATGTTTCACAGCCTTACAAATAAGTGCTGCTAGCTCCATCTGCGATTTAAAAGTCTGCTGGATTTGTCAGAACAGCCCTCCCTGCTGGTGTGCCCAAAGCCAAACACGAGACAAACATGTCTGTGCGGGAATGGGAGGTAAATGTTGCATCCTGCCGGTTTAGAAGGCAACCTGTGTACAGGTCATTCACCTGCTTTCCTGAAAGATGTTCAAGAAGTCAGTCAAGGAACAGATAGCTTAAGCTTGCTCCAGCCTAGGAAAAACAGTCCTGAGCTCACCAAATATTTTGTTAACAATATGTAGCCATGGATTTTTCCATTTCCTCCCTGCTTCCAGAGTCTAAAATGTTTCCATTTCCCCATGGGGTCCTTTACTTGGTGTGCTGCTAACTTCTTATAGCCCTATTTCAGTGGTGTCTTAGTTATCTCCTTCGTTATCTACTTTAATATGGAGTATCAGGGAGAGTTTTGGTGTGTTGGTAAAATATCCTATAGTTTCCCTCGTGATCTCTTGTGAAAACCCGTAATGTAATTTTTCTTAAGTCCAACAGAACAAGTGTGGAGATTCTAGGACCAAATGTTTTGCTGATGTTAATAGCCAGAAAAGTTAGCATTCTTTGCAGGATGATCAGTTTGGGGAAAGAAGGTAGTAGGGGCGCAAATGGGGTTGGAGACGGACATGGAGCTTACAGTGGGAAACTAGCTTCAAGTTTAGCTACCAAGTAGATGCTGTCATTTTGAACAATTCAGATATTAAATCAGTACAGAATATCATGTTAGTTTACGGTTATACTTCATGTAGTCTGTTTTGTCTACTGATTTGGATGGTCCAGAATGGTTATAATATCTTTACCTGCATATGTTTATTTAATGTCTCTACAAAGTGTTCATTGATGGTATTAATAGTAAGTAATTATATATTACTGTCCTTTTTTGCCATGATTTGTAAACATTACATTATGTTATAAATAATGAAAAAGAAGCTTACAGTCTGGAGGAAAAACAGTCTACCAAATGGATGAGATTTGACCAGAAGTTCTACACAGCATATTAGCAAGATCACAGGAATGAAGATGTATGATATGTTAATGGATAAGAATATACTATGAACTTTTGATTCAGTATGTGATATGATGAAACAGTAAATTGAGCCTATGTATGTTGTATGTCAAGGGTGTCATTAATATCATGTAAATAAAATGCTAACTTTCTTTTTCTCTTTATGCAGAAGGTGAAAGAGCTTTACCATCAATACCAAAGTAAGTTTTGCCTCTGTACATTATTTTATGGAAGGTTAGTAACTCCTAAATTCTCTAACTTTTTTAAAGATTTATTTGAACGACGCCTTAGTTTTTTTCCTAGCAAGGCTGCATTTTTATTGTTGTTTTACGAAATACAGCAGTGATGTATAGTCCGATGAGCCCATGCAATCTAAATGACTGACAGGTGCTGTTAAATATACAAGTGATATTCCAGGTAAGATCTGAGAAGCTATATGTCCTGGGTAGGATTTGATCAGAGAGAAAGGAGAATTTGTGTAATGCACTGGGTTGTGACATACAAGATCAGGTATTACAAGTACAGGCATGGCTTTGTATGTGTGTGTAGCCCTGTTGAAGTCAAGCATTTCAGTATCATGCTGATTTGTGGTCTAAATGTGGACAACACTTTTATTTCATAGGAATTCCATCTAATTCAGAATAAAATTATGCTTGAAAAATTTAAAGTAGCTTTCCCAGGTAGTAAAGATGCTACAGTGAAGGTGTGTTTCCACTCCCCTAATCATTTTAATCTCATGGTAGTCTTTTGCTGGGTGCAGACTGGCTCTCCCACCACCTAGCGGCCAACCACTGTAGTAGTGCCTTCAGAGGAAAGCCAGCGTGGGAGAGCTGGTCGTGTGACCGTTCTTTATTACGGAGTAAGATCAGAGGTCAATTACTCCGTAGTAATTGTGTGTACGTCTGTCTGTACCTCTATTCCACATCTGTGAAATGCAGGAAAAAATGCTTCCTTTTTCTCAGCCGTGGACTGTCCTTTCTATTTATATTGTAAATGCTTCAGAGCTGTTATTACCACTTCCATTGCGTAGACATGTTACCTAGCACAGTAGACACAGTCTTGACTGGGTCTTTTAGGAACTATTCTAACGGAACAAATAATTTAATAAATAGAAAAATGTGGAATCACTTGTTGCCTGCTTCAAATTTTTAAAATATCCATTGGCATAGTTAATACTTTTCTAAGCGTGACTTTGGGTCTGTAGCAAATACCGTTCTGTGTCAGTTATCTTGGTCAATATGATGACAATAGCATACTGTAGCAAAGGCGCACAGTGTGGCCTGGTGCTACCTGTCCTTAGAAGTTCTTCACTAGCTGTTACTGGAACGTGCATATCTAGCACTCATCCCGTTTGATCCAAGCAGGCTTATTTTTGTCCTGAGAGAAGAGTATTTCATAACACACCAACAGTAGTGCGGAGAAAATACGAATCTGGCAACTTCTAGATTAACATATCGTCCCATAAAGTAGGTCAGGGGTCAGCACCCATTTAGTGGCAGGCTGTTGATTGCCCCTCCACAGTGCCCAAGCCTCCTACTGCAGTCTCCACTGTATACTGCCAGCTCCCATCCCCAGCAGCAGTAGGAAGAGCCAGGTTTGGCTGTGATATAAGCAGCACCTGCTGTGGGGCAGGGAGGGAGGCGGAGGGTGGGGTGAGAGAGCAGGGAGGGCTGTGAAGTTGTGGGAGTGCAGAGATCAGTGATACAGCAGAGGGCAGAGAAGGAGGATGCGCCAGGCTGATCCCACATGCTGCCATGGGCCAGCTCTGGCCCATAAGCTATAGACTGTTGGCCCCTGGACTAGGTCATTCTCTCCCAAGTAAGCAAGCGGGACCAAAAGCATTTTTTGTCATTCACCAACCACATTCAGGGTGCACAATAAGTAATATCAATGTTGTTTCACTAGCAGTGTGCCAAAATAAGTGTGAAAGCAGCACACCAAAACCAAATGTTTCAGTATTGTGCTAATTCAGGAAAGATGCAGAGAGGGGCAGACAACTTCAGGATAAGATCCCTAGGTGACCTGTTCTACTGCTTAACTTACCTTCTACTGGAAAGCTTGTTTTTTTTTCTTTTTCCTGAAGCCTGACCTAAATCTCTATTTCTGCAACTTAAATGAATTATTTCCTGCTCAACTATAACAGTTGGTCACTGCCCCTTTATGATAACATTTATAAATTTGGGAGACTATTATCCTCTTTCCCATACAGTATTTTTTCCTTTCTAAAAACAAAAATAATCATCTTTAAACCTGTCTTCATAGGTCATATTCTAAACTTATTCTGGCTGCTGTTCTGTGGACTTCCTAAGTGAGATGCCAAAAATGGGGCACAGTACTCTCTCTGAGGTACTCCGAGTGGAAGAATTCCCTTCTCTGCATTAACTGTGACAGTACTGCCAATACATTCCAGAACGGTTCTTGCCTTTTTAGCACCAGCATCAGGTTTTTTTACTTATACATCTGATTTTCCCTGCCTAAATATGGCTTCTTGTCATTATTGAATTTCATTTTATTCTACTGTGACCACTTTTTCAGCTAAAATTATTTGGAATTCTGATCCTGTCCTCCAGAGTGCTTGCACACACTCCTAGCTTTGTGTCATACGTCAGCTTTATAAGTGAATTGTTTATTCCATCATCTGAGTTGTTATACAAATGAATAGAACTGGACCCAGAATAGACTCCTACAAAATCCCACATGATATAGCCTCACCATTTGACAGTCAATTATTGATAAATGCTGTATTTACATGAACCCAAGATGGGTTTTTTCCCCCATAATGTGGGAGAGGGAGCCTTGTGTTTGATTTGAGAATGGGCCAAAGACAAGCAGTGATTCAGCTCTGGCATCAGCTCCAGTCCCAAGGCCAAAGCCAGAGCTGAGCTGTTGCCTGCCTTGGCCTGAGGTGCTTGTGCAGTGGCGGGGAGGGAGCTCACACATCAAGAGAGTGCAGGGGAGATCATGCGGTGCGGGTGGGGGGTGCACAGAAGAGACCTTGCAGTAAGGGGGGGCATATGGGGCAGACCCTCAGTGTGTGGCTCGGGGGGAGTGTAGGGAAGACATCACCCCTTGCTGCTTGCCCCCTCCCCTCTCATTCCCCCACTGCTTACCTTCAGCTCTAGCCCTGACCTGGCTGGGCCCAAAGCTTCCGCTCTGTTGAGAGTTAGTATCATTAGTGTCTATGTGGATGAGCAGTACAGACTTCTGCCTGCCTTGGCTTAGCAAGAGCCAGGGCTGCCATCACCAACTGCCCTGGAGCTGGAGCCAGACCTACCGCAGAACATAAGCAGTGGGGTAGGGGTGGGCACCAGAGAAGGACAGCTGGCAGGGGGCAAGGTACAGGGGTTTGGCCCCTTGCTTCTTGCCCCACTGCCTTTCCCCACCATAGTTGGGGCAGCAGGGGAGGGAGAGGGATGAATGTCAGACAACCATCCAATAATTTTCAATGTATAGCATCAAAGTCCTCTTGGATCTGGGTAAATACAGTACTCTTTAAGTACAGTTTTTTTTTTACCATTTCTTCATCCATTTAATAGTTATTTCATGTCAGTTATATTTCCTGAGTTGTGAGGATGTCACACTTCACTTTTTCAAAACCTCTGCTGAAGTCAAGATGCATCACACATCACTTCCACTGTTTCTTCCCATCCAGTAGAGCAGTTAAAAGATGAAAAGATCTGTTTTGTTTGATGTGATTTGTTTTTGACAAATCCGTGTTGGTTGGGTTTTTTTGTTTTGCTTTTTTAAATTACCATATTATAGTGTAGGTGCTTACAAATTGATTGTTTAATAATTAATTCCATTATCAAGCTTTTGAAATTAAGTTAATTGGTTTGTGGTGTCTGGGTCCTCCTTTTTACTTTTTTTTTTTTTACTTTTTATAAAGATAGGTACTCCCTTCTCTTTCTTTGAGTTTTCCCTTTGAGTTCTAGAAGATAATTGCTAATGGTTCAAAGATTGTTTCAGCTAGGTCTTTAAGTTGACTAGAATAAATTTCATCAAGCTCTCCTAACAAAATATTGTTTAACGTGTATTCTCTCCTATTCTGACCTCTGCTTCTAGCCCTTTTCTGCTTATTATTAATTAGTTTAAGGATATGGTCATAATTGTGAGGCAAAAAAGACATATGAAATTTTAGCCTATATGATGACTAGAATTCATTACATAATGAAAAGGCTGCCCACTTTTTCATTATGTAATGGACTTATGTATTCCTGCATTTGTCTCATTTCTAATATATTTATATACATTTCTTGCCTTTTTGTGCCCCTTGTTAGTTGTAACCAGAGATCCTGGTTTTCTCTGTTGAAAAATCACAAAAATCACAAGCCCCTGCCCCAGGCAGAAAAGAGGACCGAGGTCAAACAACCCCAGCCTCACCTCGGTCCTCTTTCCTGCTTGGGGCTGGGGTCGGACGCGATGATCCTTCGTGGTCCCTTCTGACTCTACAGTCTATGAATCTATTAACCTTTTCTTCAGGGATTTTGTTTTTGTTTTACTTTTAATGAACTGAAAATCAAGAGGAATCTTATAAGAAACAGAAACCAGAATGCATCACAAAGACAAAATCAGAATGAAAAAGAGCATGAAGTAAGTTACAACCAGGGATCCGGGTTTTCTGTTTCCCACGGAAAAATGGAAAAAACTGCAGATTTTCCCTTTTACCTGAGAAAAACACAGATTTTTCATTTTAACAGAGTTAACAAAAGTTGTCCCTAGCACACTTGAACAACTTGTCTGCTTGTGTCCTACTGTTATGGAGGGTGGTGGGGAGGGGTTTCTCCCCAGCTGTCACCCGTGACCACTAGTTCCTGACCTTTGGATTCTTCTGTTTCACTCTTCTGAAATGGCCAGCTCCGTCAGGTCCTTTTGATTTAGATGGTCTATAATATAGGCCTCTACAAGGACGTATTAGCACTGTTCTTTTCCCATTTATCTCCAAACAGATTTTAACCTGTTTGTCTCTCACCTCCTCATCACTTTTGGAACAACACATCACGCATTCTTGCTATGCAGTGCAACACATCCTTTCTAAACAAGCTGCATTCTTCGATACTGATATGCCAGTCCTCCAGTTTATATCATCAAGTCCCCTTGATGCCAATTAAGTCATATAGTTTCTTTTATGTGCTAAGATTTCTAATTCTTCCTGTTTATTCTCCCAATACTCCTTAGCATTAATGTCTAGACATTTAAGGTATTTGATAAGTTGTCCCTGTTTCCTCCTTTCTCCCTTATGACCCTCTTGCAATTTCCCATATTCTCCCTCTCTAATTTATACCCCTCCTTACTTGCTGGGTAAATTTATATCCTAGGATATAGGGGGTTCTTCCCAATTTTTCATCAATGAACTTCACCTCTGCCTACAAGTCTCCTTCACATGATACCATTCCATGGTCAAGGAAGCCAAACCACCCCCTACATTGCTATGCACTCATTACCAGGAGGAGGCTCTCCCATCCTCACCCTTCTCCCTTAATTTGAAGGATCAGCCAAAGCATGAACCTGGGCCTCTGACTCTTTCACCTTCCCAGACCCTTGTCGTCACTTCTGATCTGCTGAGAGTTAATATCATTAGTGTCTACATGGATGAACAGTACAGAATAGTGATCAGAAGGCTAGATGAGCCTTAGCGACCCATTCGTAATGTAGATCTGGGTTCCAGGCTTGCAGCATATCTCTCAAGATATGCCAGATTTGGAGGCATTCAGTTGCTGACCTATTCCCTCAAAAGGAAATCTTTAGCAACAACTGTGCTACATCTCTGTGTCTTGGGCCATGAGCCTCCCAGTCCTTGGGCCATGACTTCTATTTCCCAACATTGGGGTGAAAGAAAGATCCATTAGTAGGCAAGGAACATGGCAGATTGGGTTGTAGCCTCTGAATCAGAAGTTCCTAAATCTCTGAAGGGTGGAAGCTGCAGTGGGAGAGGAGTAGGGCGGTAGAAGTGGACATGCTCTCTTCACCTTCCCACCTTAGCATCCACACTCTGGGCAAGATATTGGGCTAGATGGACCTAGTAAACAGCATTTCTTACAGTTCTCCCATTTCTCTTGGTTTCAAGTCAACATAATGACTCTTGACATTGGCAGATAAAGGGGGCCTGGGTGGGAGATGGAGCACTGTTTGCTAGCCCAGGTGTCAAGCAGCCAGTTTCCTCTCTTCAGGGCAACTGATACTTATTTCTTCCGAGCTGCTGCTGCAGTCCCTCTCTAGCTAGGTAGTTTCCTTGTGATGTTGAAAAGCAGGGGTGGCCAACCTACAGCACAAATGCCATCAGTGGCAATGGCAACCTCTGAGTGTGGCACATGACACGTAGAGGACGGGCAGCATAGCAGCAGGAAGGGCAGGGAGCAGAAACCAGAGCATCAGGTAAGGCAGGAACAGAGTAGAAGATCAGACAGGGATTGGAGTGGCACTTGGGTGGGGTGCAGGGCTAATTTGCAGCATGCCTGTCCGAAAGATTGGCCCCAGTTACAAGAAAGCAACAAGATGACAAGGAGGGGCAGGAATGCAAGGATGAAGGTAAAATCAACAAGACTGGGTGCATCTACATGAGCAAAGTGATAAACCCAGGCAGTCACCTGCTCCCAGGTACAACATGTGCCTGGGACCACAGCACTTTGAGCCAAGGTGAGGCAGCCCCGGGCTGGCAGGGGGCCCAGGGATCAGCCCTGGGCTGCTAGTGGTGGCATTGGGCAGTAGAGGGATTGGCTGGGGCACAAGGGGGCTAGGTGTCAGGCAACCCCCACACTTTAGCACCGTTGTGCCCTAGCCAGCCTCTGTCACAGTCTACACATGCATTTCAGCACACACAATTATTCCACCGTAGGATAGTACTGTCCACGACGGCAGAATTAATTAATTTACTGCGCCTTAATACCGGTGCATGTGTAGACAATGACACTTTACTGCCAAGCTAGTTAGTCAACTTGATGGTGCAGAGCGCATATAGATGCACCCACTATGTAGTTACTATTCAGTGTAATTAGTCTGTTATCTACTCGGGCAAAATAATGCTTTTCACCCTAAACGGATAGCATGTATAAATAAAACATTAATTTCAAAAGGCACTTGTTTTATTTGAAGAGTTTTTCAGCTGTTAAGATTGTTGTGGTGATCTGAACTTGTAGGAGGAACTTCCTTTTCTTCTATTGGTAACAGATAACTACAAAGCACTTTGTACTACAGGTACTGTACATGCTGGTAGTCTGATTTGCAGATGGGTTTGGGTCAGTGGTGCAAAAGTTCTAGACAGCAACATCATGCATCTGGAAAGACTTACTTTTGGCAGATTGTATTTCATACTGTTTAAATGAGAAGTCCACAATTCTTTTGTTTTCTCTTCATTTTAAAGAGAAGATATAATTATTTACTGAAACAGCTTATTTGAATGTGTCTGTCCATCAGATAATTGCAGCTTTAATTGGCCAAATTTTTTTAACTGACTTAGTAAATTGAATGGAAGCTACTCAGATGTACATGGTTAAATCACATTTTAGACAGAAACCAAATTCACTCAGCCACAAAGAAATATATAACAAATTGCAGAATAAACCAGCATATCACTCTGTTTTAAGTACGCTGCTTACAGTAATTGCTTTGTCTTTCTAATACAAATTGTGTAGCAGAAAAGGGCACTTATGGCACAAGTTGCCAAATAAGTTATTTGATTAAGTCTTAAACTAATGGTTTAAGCTCCCAATCTTTAATGCAAGTGGATTTACTATTTAGATTGGATAAGTAAACTGATGATTCAAAGTTTATTAATACAACCTGTCTGCTGATTGTAAAATCAAACTTTTTTCTGACCTTTGCTTGTGTCATAATGAACTTCTGGGCTTGTAAAATGAGCCTCTTAAAGAAAACACTCTTGTTCCCCCAGGTAGACTTAAAATGGTAGATTCCTCTTTTAGTTTTCTCCCCCTGAAAATGTGTCACTGTAGAAAATGGATTGGTCCTGCTAATTACAGTAGGTGCCCGTTGGAATGAGTTCAGTCCGTGCACGCGTGGAGAATGTACAGCATTCATCGTTTCAAACCTCTGTTTTACAGGCTGGCCAACAATGAGAAGCAAGGAGTGCGGTCACACACCGTCTCTGTGTCAGGTACGTGCCATGAGAAGTATACGTTTGCTTCTGAGGATAGTAAGTAGCCGAGCAGTTTCTTCTACTTAGACTGTAGCACACTCCTTACTCCACTGATTTTCCAAAGAACGTAGCTGTGTTTCCTTCATAATGGCATTTCAGAAGAACGACAGAAAAAGTTTCTTGGCTGTCCTTCTGCATAATGTTGCGGATGAGACTGACCGGGCTGTAGCAGTACCCTTGTCTTAAAGCATAATGTATGAAGTCAGAGAGCTTGAAATTAAGGCTAATTAAGTGTTTCTGATAAACTTTGCCGTAGCTTACAAAGATGCTAGACTATATTGGTTCTTAATTAACTATATGATTTACAGATTACCACAAAAGTTAAAGTACACAACAGCTGTAGTAAAAGGGAAAACAGTATAAAAACTTGTCATCATATTTTCCTTCCTTTCTTTTCCTTGACTTGGTTTGGTTCTTCTTGCTGTTTAGCACAAAGAACTACTATTTATATTTTAGCTTTTGAAAAGTCAATGAAGTTAGTGTAAACTTTTCTAAGGAGGGCATGTGAGGTAATGCATATGAATGTGTTTTAATTATTTCACAGTAATACAGAAAAAGCTTCTCATTTCCTCCAGTATGTCCCATTCTCACTGTTTGGATGGAGTTGTACTTGTACTTAGTTTATATTGGACAGTGGACGTTTTTCTCAGAACAGAATGTAATCGAAGCCCGGGAATACCTTGTTTTGATGTGCAGAGATTTATGTGTGCGTTTCCTGGCAGTATTTATGTACCTGTCTGTAAAGAAGCCTTTCAGCAGAAAAGCACGTGAATATTATGACACCAGACTGCAGATTTGTATCGTTTGTGTAGACATAGAGATTAGACACCAATTTTGTGGTCCAAATAGATCTTTAAATAGAAATGGAGTTGAAGGCTTCACTATAAGGAGGCTTACAACTTCACTGTAATGTATTTTAAATTTGACAGGGCACTGGCTCTCACCAAGACAAGCTGTGCAACTCAGAGCTCCCTTAATTGATACTCAATCACGATATGCAACAGGGGAAGAAAAGGCGCACTGCCACTTGCCTGTTGTCTCTCATTCCTTTCACCATTTTTTTTAGAAAGGTATATAACCTCCACTCCTGTTGAGCTTCCTCCTTCAGGGTGAAATGTGTCCCTTCCTGCCTAAAGCTCAGTAGACACTTTGTGTAGTAATCATGGGAAAGGAGATTGAATTCACAGGCAGATCAAACTGCAGGGCTTGGGCAATGCCTCACTAGAATTGATACCATAGCCCGTGGGCTTGAATAAGCAGCTGTTGTCCCTTCTGTACCACTGAGTAGAGCTTGGGGCACTAGATCCACGTAATCCACATTAGGGGGGATCCTTGTGTCCTTCACAACCTAGCTACACAACCCCCTTCAGCGCTGAAGGAATCGGAGGCGCCTGGTATGATTGTACCACCATCACCTCTCAGCACAGCCTCATCACAGTAATAGTGTGATAGATCCTTGGCGTTGCTGGATATTTCACTCAATTCTCAGTTTTTTATAAAAATGTGAAAAAAATACTTGTCTAATAGCTATTGAAATAACACACGCATCTAAAATGTAGTAAGCATACCTACTTTGGTACCTTTGTTGTTGTAAACTGAGGGTACTTCATAATACCCTCTGTCCTTCTCCATTACACTAATTCAGATACAAGCATCTCAGGGGAGGTAACACTGTAGTGGTCATACAAGCTAGCAAATGTCCTCCATGGCAAAAGCCAGGCCAATTCTTTGTCTTTACTTTATTTTATTTTGTTGGTATTCAAAATCCTCCCCAAGTGAGGCATTGTGCCCGATGCACATTTTTAATTCTGAGTTTTAAAGCACTGGAAACAAGGACACCATAAGGGCGTGATTCATGCTATCCCCCTCCTCATCGCGTGGGGTTTACTCTTTTCTCGAGTAGAGGCATGTGAAAGATTATGAAATACTTTCTGACTTCTCTACCCGAAATAATTTGACATTGTGATACATTTACTCCATCGAGCTTGGCACAAACATCCTTGCATTGAATTAGTCACACACACAGATTGTTTGGCATGTAATTATGTGGTAGGTTAAGCATATTTTTTGTCAGGAGAAGCTTTCTTCTAGACTCACCCGTGGCCCTGAACATATCAGTTCCCTTCAGATGAAGTAATGTTACATGTAGATGCACAGAAACGGCACTTGTGTTGACATACGTCTCTGATGCAGAGTCCAGAACAATGAAGGCAACAGATGTGTATAATGTTCAGTTAATACCAGAGTTAGACATCGGCAGCGGCTGGCAGCTGACAGCATCCAGTGCAAAACCAGCTGTGGATGATGCCATCCTGAGCTGCAAAATAAGGGCTTTTCTCTGATGACATTTAAATGACTTGCAGCCAAAGGTTTCAAATAAGAAAGGCCTTTATAGCCTGCTGACAGCTGTAACCTCTTCCATGCCCTAATAGCTGGGAAGCGTAAATTCAGAATTCTGCTGCTTGTTTTCATTGACATTTGCTATTCTTTGTTTAGTGTTTCCCCAATGTTAAAACCATAGCAGCAAAACAGGAGCCAGAGATGTAACAAGATGAAGCCCTATTAGAATTTGCTAGGCAGCCACATTTGTAGTTTTAACACTCTTAAGTTGAGAAGGGCAGTTGCAAAATGATCTGTCTGACAAACTAAAGAGACATTAGCGATGGCTACAAGCCAAATACTGCCATGATCTGGGCTGGCTACATGCACAAGTTCATGCACTTATCTGAAGCCTGTGGGTATACAAAGTTGGCCTGTTTCTGCAAGGTTTCTGGCTTTTTACACAAAATAGCTGGCACTTCCTGTAGTTGTTCTGACCTAGTGAAAATAAGATCCATGGTATTCTGACATTCCAGCATGTACCGGGATGCAGATTGCGTGAAGATAAAAAATGACCATGTGGAAAGTTACCTGACATTTTTTTTGTGCCTCAAACAAGGTTCACTTGGACATAAATGTGGGCTCAGGCTGGTTCCAAAATCCCATAGTTGAAAGCAACATGACCCGGTTGATATGTATTGAACAAGGAATCGAAAAAAATCAAATCCTGTTCCTGACGGTATCATTGCTCTGCACTGTGACCATAGGCATGTTGCTTCCTTTCCTAGTTTTTGTATGCCATGACTGTTTAGACTGCATACCCTGTACTACCAGCACTGTTTCATTGCCTAGCATAGCTTAGTGAATACAGACCCTTTCCCTTCACAACACATACATTTACTGGAAGTAGCTATATTATACCTAACTTCCGGTTGTATCTCAGATTGGTTGTGCAGAACTGCTGTTTTGGTTTTGGTCTCTATGGAGTCACAGAGGTGATGAATTTTGTGTGATAATCCCTACTTTTATCCCCTTGTTTTTTACGTTAAAATAGGAGTGCAGGGCTCCCCCTGACTCTGGAAATTTGGCACTGGCTGAGAAGTAGCACCACTCTCCTGCTAAGAAATTTCCAGACCCCTGGGGAGCCTTGGGCCCTGTGTGCTGGATCACGCGCCTGATCCCAGTGCTCAGGGCTGGGAAACCACTCCTGGTGCACGGGGGCAGGAGTGAGTGGCACCAGAGAATGGGGACTAAATCCCAGCGCACAGGACAGGGAGGGAGCCATGCCAGGACCCAGGGCCCAATTCTTGCGCATGGGGCCGACTCGGCCTGCAGCCTGGCTCTGGGCTGCTCATCCAGCCTACGGGGCCAAAAGATTGAGCACCACTGCTTCAAAAAAATCCTTTCCAGTTAATATCTCCCGTATAGACTCTCCCTGATGCACCGTTAGCACACTGCTGCTATATGTCTAGTATCAAGATAGGTAAATATTGCTAATTGAAGAGAAGTAATACATGAATTTGCTAAAATTGTGTCGAATATCGCAGGCCATTTTGCTTGAAGCCTTTTTTTCAATTTTTATTCAAATGGTCTAGTCGGGTCTAGAGGAATGTTTCTCAGCTAGCAATTTGCTTTGGAACAGCAAAAAGTAAACTCCAAAGTGGTGCATGCTACTTCCAAAAAAAATAATTTATACAGTAAGTTATACTTTACACAAACTTCACCACAAAAATGAAATTAATAGAGCTTCATCTTGCCTGTTCCCTCTGTAGATATGTTCCCTCTACTATAAAGCCTCTTTATTTACCCGTTATAGGAGTATGTTTAGGGGGAATAAATTCCATGCATTATATCCTTTGGGCCAAGATCTGGTCAGCTTTCAGGTATCGTTCCTAGTAAAAGAATCCATGGCCAGAAGGTCTCCTAATCCAAGCTGTTTACAGACACGGTGTAGGGGGACTGTGAAGCATGGCCATATTAATAAAAAATAGATCTGTTTTTGGAGTTCCCTTTAGTGTGGATTTGGATAGCTTAATCAGAGGCAAATCTGTTGGTAGTTATTATCCAGACTTCACTACTGACGTGCAGGTTTAAACAAAATGCTTTATTTTTGTTTTAGTTTTATACATATAGATAAATAAACTCATATATATACATGTATACATATATATGAAAAGGATGCTGATACGTGAATAGTTACTGTAGTGGGGTAGTTTACAATTAACAATATTATCTATATCCAGAAAGAAAATATATACATGATGGATGTATGGCTTTGCCTACTTTTAAAGATGTGCAGTAAATGTATTCAGATCTCCTGCAATATCCTTCAAGTAGAATTGTAGAAAAAGAGGGCTGGAAGGGAGCTCAGGAGGTCACATCTAGTCCAACCCCCTGCTCAAAGCAGGACCAGCCCCAACTACGTCATCCCAGCCAGGGATTTGTCTATTGGGGTCTCAAAAATTTTCAAGGATGGAGATTCCACATTGTCTCTGGATAGCCTGTTCCAGTGCTTTACTATCCTCCTAGTGAGAGTTTTTCCTAATATGTAACCTAAACTACCCTGGCTGCACGTTGAGACCATTGTTCCTTGTTCTGTCATCTGCTACCACTGAGAACAGCCCAGCTCCATCCTCTTT